AATTGGACATATGTCCAATGTCCAAATGTCCAAAAGTCCAATTAAATTTATTTGGACATTGTCCAATACCAACACTGATCATAGCAAATAGGGATGATCCATAAATTTAACAGCTATAATCAATTGTAGATTCTTTGGTTATAGATCTTTTGATCATAGGATATAGCTTTATTAGAACCGATTACTATGTGATTATGTTTTTTATATTTGGAATTCCCGTTATTATCGAGAATTCTTAATGAATGGTTTACATCATCAATGTTTCTGAACAAAACACGTGGAGTCATAAGATTAACCAATAATTTGGTAATAACAATCAAATATGTTACTACAATAATAATGCCGATAACGATTTCCATAGTCCGAGAATTTGGGAATATATGAAAAGTGGTTACAAATGAAATTGTGAAAAGATGTTTTTATTAGAAGGTCTAAAGTATTTTCTAAAAATTTAATCAGGGTTTATATAGGATTTTATGAAAATCCTGCTCATATAAAACTCATTGTCAGTTACCTAGTTTTGAAACAAACCGTTTCGAAAAAATGCGTACTGCATCGTACTTCAATAATAATTAAGATGGCTTATGTAGAATTGAATTTTTTTAAAATCCTCCCGTACAAATTAAGATTTGACAATTTCTGTTAATTTAGAATTTCAATTAATTTAGAATTTCAATTTCCTATTTTATTTGTCTAAGAACTTAGTGCATAACGATAATGATAATGCCAAACGTCTCAGGGGTATAATCTATCCAAATATATCGGATACCCCTACGATATTATCTGCAATTCCCGTTCGTCATTTATTTTTAGAAAAGATCCCGGTTTCACAAGATGACGTAATTATCAATCATTTCCATGTCAATAAAAAATATTGATGATTCGTTATCGTTATTAGTAAAGTTAGTAATTTAGCTAGAACAAATAAAAAAAATTTCATTCATTTGGAGTATTTAGGCCACCAATGTTTTTATTCAATATTTTATTGTACTAATTAATAATTAAATAAATATTGCTTTTTTTCGCTTTGAACCTTTTTACAATCCTTTTTCCACCAATTTCAGCTTATAAAATTTGAAATTTTATCTAATATACCTCGGCAGAAATCGTCTCGTCATACCACCAATAAGCAGTATTATGAAAAAAATCGAGAGCGCATTCTCCAGCGTCAACGAACTTATTGTTTCAACAAGCAGATTCGTCTGAAATATCTTGAAAGTGTTCAGGCTTCTTGTTCTCAATTTCACAGTCCACCTTTACTTCCCTCCATTAATGATCTTTTGAGTCCAATTTCACTCAACACGACTAAAATATGCTGGCATTAAAATTCAAAAAAAAAAAAACCATTAAGCAATATATAATTATGTTTTTATTTATAGGCAAAATCTAAGAAGATACGATATTTATGGCATTACGTAATTTATAGTTCTAAGTTTTTTCTTTCAAATATATATGTAGTGAATATTTGAATTAAATTATTGTTTAAAAAAACACTGCATTGAAGTTACAAACTTATTGATTAAATCCGATTAAAGGTTTCATAAATTTGTAATTTAAACCAAATATACGTTGGTTTCTCACTCATAAAATAATTAACATCATAAAATTGTAAGTTTCTCTTTTATAAACCTGATAAATAAATTGGGATAGTTTTTATCATATTGCCGCCTACCCAAACTTTCAGTGCCAAGTTTTACTGATTTTTGTGCAACCAACTTTTCCACATTAATTATGAAATCTTTATTGTGAAACATTATCGTTATGTAATCAGATTAGCAACAATTTATGTATGTTTTGAATTTTCAACCACCGAAGTTATTATACAAATTTATAATAAACTTCAGATGATCAAAAATTCGGATATCCATGTATTACAGTATTAGGCTATGGTTAAGAATTAGGTGACAGGATTTGTTTTACTGGTAATTTCTAAATTAAGGTTAGTTCCTATCCTATAAATAAAATCACATTTTCCCCGTGTCTCTGGTTCCTTGTATTCGTTCATTAAAAATTCTATTGTTACTAAGATAATATGATATTCATTTGTTTGTCGTATTTTTATTTGATAAGCTTTTCCATTTCCATCATACTTTAAATTATAGTAATAGAGGTGAGCTTCAGTTTTCTAAGTATTTCTTCTGGTAGTTTTGATAAGTCCTTCGTTTTTTTGGGTATTTTTCCAAGATTGTCACTACTTGGAATCAGTCTGATTTGTCTATTATCAAAAGGTACTTATATCCTTTCAAAAGGTGTTCTTAGTTGTTCAATTGTTTCTCTATTCGTTTCAGAGGTACTATTCTTTTCTGTATTTGGGATTTTAATAGTTTTCCTGGATCTCCTCTAGTATAACTGGTAATATAAAAATATTATAAGATTATAATTTACAAAAAACTTTAACCCTAACTCTAATTTAAACTATAACCCTCACCCTAACTCTAACTATTTATAAATTTGCTTAAATTAAGTTTAAATAGTTATATTTATATATTACAATCTTATAATAATTCTATATTGCCCAGCTATTCTAAAGATTACCAATTTCCTCTTTGGATTTGTTTTGCAGTGATTTGTTTTTTATTTATCAAAACTCTTTCTAATTCTTTTTCAGATAATGGTATTACCTCTTCTTTTTCATATTCTGAGTCTACTTTATTTAATATATTTCAGTATATATTTTCTTGTTTATTATTCTTTTTTGGTGTGTCGATTTATTTTATTAATTACTTTAAGCATCAGATAGTCTTTAATTCTTGTAAATATATAATAAAGGTTATGTTGAATCATTAGTACCAATGGCATTTGTCTTTCAATTTTATTTAATGAATAAAGTTTTTATGGTTCTAAAATTTCTGGTTTGATATTCTTTGGTTCTTTATTTGTTAGTTTTAATATAAATAGACCTAAAGTTATTAGGTATTTTGCTTGTTCTAGTTGGCATCCTGTTGCAATCCATTCTTTTGTTAAATAATAAGAATTTTCTTGGATTTTAATTAATTTTTTATTTTTGATTACTAGTTCTAATTCTTAAATATTTCTTTATGTGCTGTTACTTTTATTGTTTTTAACTATCTTTTGCCTCCTATTTCATAGCAACATGTATTCACACTCAACTCCAGGTTCTATACAGTGATCACATTGTTTTGGATTGTTACACTTATTTTTTTGACGTGACATTTGCCCTACTGATACTGTTGGGGATCTAAAAAAATTCATCGCTCAAATTGTTTTTTAAAGTAGTATTTATGTAAAGGGTTTCTGCTAACTGAGTGGTTACGAAGATTAAACAAAATGTTAAAAATATGTTTATGGGTTATTTTTATTATAGTTTTTGTGTTTTTTGTTAAAGTTTATTATTTTGATTTCTTTTACTTTTGTTATAAATAATAAAATCAAATAAATGTATATGAAAGAGAAATTTTTGATGAAGTTATTAAACTTGAGAAAAATGATTTTTTAAATAACTGAGAAGTTTCATTATTCCAAATAATTATACATTCGACACATTTTTGCTATTACAGTATCAATACACCACAAATATAATAAATAAAAGTTTTATGAATAAGCACAATACTAATGCTATTAAAAAAGAAACACTTTATTAGTATTATATCAAGAAGTAACTAGGGGTCAAAATTTGCTCTAACCTGGGTCAAACGGGTCAGAATTCAAAAATATGCAAACACCGCAATTTACCTAATATAAATAAGTACAGATTTTTACTGATCGACACAAATCGACCAATTAGATTATAAGATCAGGTGTAATGTGAAAATCACATGTTTTTTAAAAAATTGCAAATAACTCAAAATTTCGTCTATGAAACTACTTACTGTGTATTAGCAAAAAAAATTTCTTGTCAAATTTTACCATATAAAGGTTATACCTTTTTAGTACAATGCAAAAACTATGATGAAGATAACGCAAATTGTGGTAATGCTATAAGAGGTGATATAATGAAGTTCGAAGGTGCAATGTCATGGTAATAATTTGGTTTAAAATTATAATTTTATATATTTTCTTATTTTGTAAAAATAATGTAATATAACATGTTAAATTAAACTGCACTTAAATATTTATTTTGAATTAACTTATTAGGTATCCTTAAATTTTGGTTGGAGTTTTTGTAGTTGCAAAAACGGGTAGCTATACTGAGCCAGCTAGATCAAGAGCTCATGGTTCCCTATACAAAATATTACTTGAAAATATCTGTAAGAATGTTATGAAATTTATACAAAATTTAGAAAGTTCTAAAAATCTGAATAAAGTTATTAAGAGCATAGAATATTTAAATGAATTAATAATTAAAAATAGCATAACTTTAGCAGAATTAAAAAAAATAACAGCAAAACAAGTAAAAGAATAGACCAATTTGACGATGAACTAAAAATTCTATTAAAAGATCTAACAAATTTTGTTAGCAAAATGTATATCGGTAGTTATATAATGTTTGGTATATTATTAGGTATAATAATTTTATTATTTTTTAAATAAAGTATTAAATTCACGAATCTATTGACCAAATTCACTAAAATTTTTTTATTGGAATTCTATTCATTGTAAAGGTGATAACAAAATCATTAACGTTTAAATTTAAGTTTATATCTTCTTGTAATTTTAAGACTGTTACTATCTATATTAATTGAAACATTATCAGCCAAAGATTTGATTACATATCCATTAGTACGTCTTTTTTTCTTATAAATTCTCGAAGAATTTTTAAAAACAAAGGCTTCTTTTTTATTAAACCTCGTAGTTGTTTCTGTCGAATTTTTTATGTCGTAAACGATAGCACAGAGAGGTCCGTTAGGTCTCTTGAAATACAGTAGACTTTACGTAATAACTTAAAATTTATACTTAAATAACATATTAACAAACACTTTAGGTACAGTTTCGGTAACGAAATTTATATGATATTTAATTACCTTTCTTTGGGTAATGCTTGAAATAAATATAAACTAATTGAGTTTAAAAATTATGTTTAAATATTGTTTAAATACAGTAGCTTGTGTAACCTTGTATTTCTATTTCGTCATGTAAAATTTACTTACATCAGATAGATTTTTTCAAAGAAAATCAAAACGCCTTGCGATTTGGCTTTGGAAATTCGAAAGGCTTGAATATAAACAATCCTTTGAAAGCTTTTAAGAGTTTGTTACCACATACCGTAGTGAATCTAAAAAACCCAGTGATATTAAAATCATTAGCCTGGCCACATATTATATTGTGATTTGTTATATGTACGGGAATGGTGTAGAACAAGATATAGAATGAGCTATAGGTGTCGCAAAATATTTTTATAATTATAAAAAGTATGAGGACACTTGGAATATTTATTCAAAATTAGCCAAGACAGATAATATTAAATTACGTGCATGGCAAATTATTATAACAATGGATATGTCAAAAAGGATGAAAGGCTTATCTTTAAAATTGCATTAGAATTATACAGTAAAAAACAATATAAAGATGCATATAATTATTTTTTTGAAACTTACCAACAGTAATGACAGTGAAATTAAATTAATTACTACATGTATTAAAGCATCTTATTATATTACAGGGTATAATGATGTTGGAAAAATAAGAACAAGACTATTGAATTATTGAACATTGTGTCTCAAGGTATCTAATCGCGAAAGAGCTGTAGGAAAATAACGATTTATTTTAAAATTTCTATATAAATAATTCTTGAAGGTGGTACAAGTATACATGTAGAAACATAATTTTCATTGCTCTCTGTTTGTAATTATTCAAAAGCTGTTTTACATGATTTATAGTGATTAAGCTGTTGCATTTGTGTTGCTTTCTTATAAACATGTGATATTCGTATTATAAAGAACCATGCTCAATTAATGTGAAACATAATGTGCCTTATATTTTAAATGAACAAAGTTTATATCTTAACAATTATGAACATCAATTTTTGTAATTCAATGTCAGACAAATTTTTGAATGTTAAAAGAAATGGACATCGTAAGAGATCACTAAGTTTTGTAGTTTATTAAATTAACATTTATTAAGAAAGCATCTTAACTCAAAATGTGTTTATTTATATTGAATCTTAATCCATCTGCTCTGATATCTTTAAGTAAGGATAAATATTTTTTGTTATTCATATAATCTTTATAATATTATTGGGTTTCAATTTGGTGAGTTTTAATATTCAGAACATTGACGTATTTCTTTTATTAATTTGTCTCTGTTTGAAGAAATATACTTTTCAAAATATAATATTGAATGCAAATCAATCAAAATGGTTTGACACATCTTGAAGAAAAGTTTAACTGTTTACAAGCAAAATGTATCAAATTGAAAACAGAATTGGACAATGTGAAAATGTAAATATTTAAGTTTTCAAAAATTTTTTTTGACGAGTATTGATCTTAATTCTTAAAGTTCTTTTTGACCCAAATAAGTTTGTTATCTACATTGATAAGTAATTATCTAAATAATTTGCATGCCTCTTCTGCACCATAATCATTCTTTTTTCTGTAATCGTTTGTCCATTTTTTTGCAGGTAAAGAACCAAGACGTTCAGCTTCAATAACATGTTTACACCCTTCTACAATATTTTGTTTACAGCCAGCACCAGCAAGCAAGTGTAGACTCATTTTAAATTTGACTTGATATTTAAAATCGTTATTACCTTCATTTTTAATTTTATCGTATGTTACAAAAGTATCATTATAATCCGAAGAATTAGAAACAGCTTGAAATAGCTTTAATAGAGCAAACTGATATATTCTTTCTTGTTTTCTGAATTTTTTTTGTTCCACTAAAAATTCACGATATGCTTTAGCTGAGTTAGATATCGAAATTTTTTAAAATATAAAATTAATAAATGTTATATATATGAAAAATTAAATTAAAACACTTCTCTTATCACATGTGAATAAACAACATAAATTAATGGCCCACGTTTTAATTAAAATAATTCCATAGCAATAATTAAATTTCAATTAAAGATAAAATTTAATTTTCTGAATTGTCTGAGAAAATTACTCTTTGAATTGAAGTTATTAGTAATTCTTGATTCAAATATGGCATGTTTGTTTTGCAAGAAAAAATAATTAATCTAGTGTCGTGGTGACGATCAACACCCCCTGTAGTGAGATTGTTAGGGCTAGGTATGCCAGATCATGACTGTTTTGCATAATGGCGTGATTAGTGATACTCTTAAAACAAGGACAATTTTGGGCAAAATATTTCTAATTTATCAAATAAAGGTCCTAAATATATTATTCTCATTCTTCAAATCAGATTCACCCTTAAGTGAATCTAAACAATTACATACATTTGCAACTACAGTTTTAATTTCACTTCTGAATCTAGTATTCTCAAAATCATCACAGAAATCATTATTTACCAGTGTTACAAAAATTAAAAATCTATCAATAATATATGAAAAAACCAAAAATATTTCAAAAATAAGAACAAAGAAAAATCTAAATTCTAAATAAATGACAATAATTATATTACTAAACCCAAGCCCAATACCTGATAAAATGCCACAAAATCCTATCAATACCAACACTCCAAAAACAATTACAGCAATTTTTAAACCACTATCCAAACCTTCTTTTGAAAATAAAATTGCCAATTTAATCCAAGATGTCAAAATGTATCCAGAAGCTCCAAGTAAACAATAACAGGAAATAATAAAATTATTATTGCAATGATTTTAGGAGTAGAAGTATCAGAAAAATAACTTTAAAAAAAAATAAAATTTGATATGGAATAAGAAATCTATAAAAAAATCATTCCGGGTGTAGATAACAATTCAAAATATTCAATATATTCTTTTGTTTGTCCTTGTGTCCTTGAATCAAGATTTTTGGTGATTCAAAAATACAAAGTGAAGTATAATAAATTGACATAATGATTCTGATAAATATATATTATCTTTAAAAAAAAACAGAGTTTGGCACCTTGAAAAAACGACTAATAAAATAAATAAGTATAACACAAGATTATAAAAATCTTGTTTATTATAAACTTCATCCAAAAATGAGAATTTTCAAAGCTAAAGAATTCTTTCATAGGAATTCCATAAGTTGCATTGTAAGTATTATTAGGCATTTTTGATTATTACTATATCAAATTTTATCAATAGTTTGAAATTATCGTGAAATTTTACACCAATTAATTTTAAAACCCTTTGTTTTACAACTAGAGATGTGATCCTGTTATCTTTTGGGCATCTGAATTAATAGATATCAATTGAAATATGAAAAGGATAACAATACACAAGGCATAATACAAAAATAAAAACTGGATTTTCAAACAAATAAATTTTCATCTTGATATAAATTGTCATCAAAAATTATACAAATAAAAATTATAATTTAAAATATATACAAGTTAAAATAAAAGAAATATATAATAAAAGTATGATATTTATGATTCTAAATTTGTTAGAGCTCTCATTCTGTCCTAGGAGTTCAATTTGTCGAATCAACTCTTCATTACATTGAGTTGATTCGATTCGTTTACTCTCGACAAATTGAATCAGATTACTAAATATATGAGCTACTCTGTATAAGAATAATTATCCCATGGGTACTATGTAACAACCCGTGTTTTTTTTTCTAGGTTATTTTCACTGGTCTATATTAAAATCACATGATTTTCATATAGACTGGTGTTACGCGTCAAAATTTTTATATGTTAATTATTAAAATTTTATTTATTAATAAAAATCCTTTATTTATTTGATTATTTAATTAATAAAAGAAGCATTTATACAATTATTTAATTAAAAAAGCATATTTAATTATTAAAATTTCATATTTTGAAAAAGATAGTGAAAATGATAATAAATTTCTTTGTTTGCATTATCATTTTGTTTGTGAATATCATGGAACGTCAAAGTCATAAACCGATTTGTTGTATCACTTAATGGTGGTCTTGGTGGTGCCAATGATTCCATAGATAAAGACTTTTAAATACGCCATTTTTTCAGTATTAGAATTTTGTGCTTGAGGTTCGTTTGATAATATTCTTGAAGGTGGTTTAAAAGGTGCATATAAGTTTGATTTTAATCTATTTGATAATCTTTGTGATTTTCTTTGTGGATCTTGCACTTGCCCATGCAATTGAACTTGCACTTGCCCATGCGATTGAACTTGCACTTGCTCATGCAATTGAACTTGCACTTGCCCATGCGATTGAACTTGCACTTGTCCATGTGATTGATCTTGCACTTGCCCATGCAATTGAACTTGCACTTGCCTATGCGATTGAACTTGCACTTGCCCATGCGATTGATCTTGCACTTGCCCATGCGATTGATCTTGCACTTGCCCATGCGATTGATCTTGCACTTGCCCATGCAATTGATCTTGCACTTGCCCATGCAATTGATCTTTCAGTTGCCCATGCAATTGTTCTGGCCCATGTAATTGTTCTTGCCCATGCAATTGTTCTGGCCCATGTGATTGTCCTTGCCGATACGATTGTTCTTGCTCATGTGATTGTTTTTGCCCTTGCTAATACGATGATTCCAATTCTTATTAAAAATTGTTAAAACTAGAATTGATTTTTTTTTTACCAAAAAATTTAAATTAATTAAAATCGAATACCTTCATCCAGATCATCCTCTTCAAAGCTCATATAGTTATTAGCATCCCAGGAAAGTAATTAAATTCCTCATAAGGAATATCATCAAAATCTAAAGAAATTAGCATCGATGTATTCCTTATTTTTTGATTATCATTTGGATCATTATAGGCACGAATTCCTTCATGACTACGATGCCTAGAGAATTCCATACGCTCATCTTCTGAAACATTTAGGTCCTTGAGCCGTTGGATTGCTGTGTGTCGTAGTGAATGGTTGCTGATTTTTTGACCATTTTCAAGATTTATACCTGTGATTTCAGCTATTTTCGCCATCATAGTATTTAGCTTATTCGTACCCATACGGTTTTTTTTAAATAAAACACCTTTATTTATATCTAGTAAAAAAAAAAAAAAAGTTAATAATTAAATATAAAAATAAATAAACCCAAAGCATTAAATGCTTTAAACCCTTCGCTGCCCGGGTAGTCTCTAAAAAAAGTGATCCACAAGAATCTTTAAAACGTAAAGATATCATAAACAAGATATCTTGAATGGGTTTAAAGCGATTATTAGTATGATTGGAAGGAGTTGGAATCTTTCGTGCAGAGCTCTTCCCATATTTATTTCGTTTCAATGCCTCACGTTGATTATTCTTTTCATGGTTAAAGGTAAGATAAAGACCACCATCATTACGATGTGATATATCTTTAAAATTGATCTTTTCTGCATCCCCACCACATAGACCACACAGAAGCAATAACCAGAAAAAAACTCTTCGTGTTAGCCCTTCATTAGTATCTACTTTCATTTTCTCATGATCAAATATTTTGATAATCTCTTCTGAAGTTAGTGGAGATGCTTTATCTGTTTCACCCAAACCTGCATTTTGGAGTCGCTTCATCTTTCCATCAAGAGTCCTTAACACTTTGCCAAAATGGTATGAATCCCACAATTTACAAGGTTTGATTTCACTATTCTCTTTAAGGTAACGAGCTATAGAGGCATAACAGTTATGAATGCTCTTTGCCTTATAGTCATTTCTATCTAAATGCTTCAACCAGGTAATGAATCTGCAAAGAAAGTTTTCTAATTCTGTTGTCGTCTCAATTTTGTCAATACCTTTTTCATAGTTTATTATTTCACAAAACCTGTCTACAAAACATAGCCATTTCAAAGTGCACTTGTCAGTGTTTTCTACACGTGAAAGTCTCTGCAATTCCAAGACTTCTTCTTTACTAGAAGCACTATTACGGTTTCTTTTACCCATTTTTACTTAAAAAAAAATTAAATCGATAAGCAGATCAATCTAAAATTTGA